AACAGGAGGAATAGAGGCAAAGCCAAAATAATAATTGTAACAAAAAAACAAAAGGAAACGAGTTAAATTTCCAGAAAGAGCGCAGCTGAATGTTATCCCAAGGGGGAAGGAAAGGAAAAGGTGGCAATTTTTTTTTTTTTTTTTGGTACATAAAAGTGTAGCGACTTTGTAAAAGGATAAACAGCCGTATGGTTCAGCACAATTGAGCAAGAATTTATTCACATAAGTGCGACGCTTAGGCCAAACAAGCTGCCAATCGGCGTAACAAAATGGCAGACGACAAGTCTGGGAAGGGGGCGTACATTAACAACCCCGAGTTCCCGTACAAAAATTTAAACATTAAAAAGATTGAACGGATAAGGAAAAGCGTCAGTCTAGGTAGCCAATTTTTTATCCATAAAAATCCAATTAACGATGAGTCCGGAGGAAGGGAAGCTGTTCCCAAGCAGGGGAATTTGCAAAATTACGGAAATAGCTTAAGCAAAAAATTTAGTAAATCGAAAAATTTTATAGAGAGAAACATTGAAAAAATATCTAGCTTAAGCAAAAAGAATGACATGTTCTTGAAGACCAAAAAGACATGTAACAGGAGTCACGTGGTGGGTTATGACGTACACAAAGATGCAAAGAGGGACATAAAGGAGAAGGCCACTACAGTTTTTGGTGCCGCTCCGCTAAAAAATAGAGCCGCGGGGAGCACTCCTGGGAACATTGGTAATGCCAATCAACACGGCAATAAGAACATTTTAAGCAAGACTCCAGTGAACCACCTGAAACACAAAACTACACTCGTGCATGCAAAACACAAAAGCGCAGAGTGCGATTCGGGCAGAAACAAGACGTATTCTACGAATAGTAATAATAACGCGGGGGAGGCTGTGAAAAGTGCAAAAAAGTTCCCAGGAATAGGAGAAAGGGGGAATAGACAGCACGTGGTCACTAATTTTGAGAAGCCCAAAAGTTTTGCCAGGAATTACGACGTGGGAGGTGGTGGACCGGCGTCCACTGCTAAGCTTGGCAGCTATGTGGCGAGTTATGCTTCTTCCAACCATGCAGCCGCGAACAACAGCAACAGTAATGCTCTTCTGAGAACACAAAAAACACTTCTCGATGAAGACACGGCAGGACAAAATCGCATGGCGAAAGTGCCCTCTACAGGAATGGCTAGCAGAAGCGCGGGTCATGATAGAGGCGAAACGCATTTGAGGAAAAATGCTCATGTAAGCAAAGGAATGATGAAACAAAATGAATGGGCGGATATAAAGAATAACGTCACCCAGGAGGAGGTAGCCAAAAAGAACAAGCAACAAACCAATGCGCAAGTCACACATTACCAGCCCGATAAGGATAAACATGTCACAAATGAAGGGGGAAAAAAAATAGAAAACAAATTAAAAGAAAGCTCAGATGTAGTATCACCTTATGAGGATAATGAAATAAAAAATAAAGGAATCGATTATGTAATGGATAGGAAAATGCAAGGAGAAGATACCTTAGAAAGTCAGACATGTGAACTCAACGAGATTGGAAAGTTAGAATATGATGGTTCAGGTGAAGGGACGGATATTTATTGTACGAATCATCAGCAGAAACCTAAACCAACAGATGAGGGGGAGCATATGTACCCTCAAAATAATTTCCCAAATGGTTACCATTATGGTGGAGGTGGCGTTGAAAAGGGTGATCGTGGAGGCGATGTGCGAAGGGGGATATATGTCTATGATGATGACAAGGGTGGAAGCTATGAGATGTGCGAATCGGGTGCGAGAGAGGATGGACATGAAGCAAAGGAGCAAGTGGATGAAGACAACGAAGAGGAGGTCATCGTCACAGAGGAATCGCAGGGGAGTGAAGGAGACGGCGTCTTGCTTAGGGAAACCAATAATATAGCTCCACCAATCTGTAATAGCGATAACGCAGAAGCAGGAAAAAAAGAATTCCCAGAAAAATCGATAAGCCTAAACGACAATTCTTCCCTCGATACGGTTACAAATTACAGTTTTCAAAGTAAGAAAGACCATCAAAGCTGGGGGGAAAAAATAAAGTTAAAAAATGGAACAACCAAAAAACTGCAAAGCGTAGACTATACGTCCAAGACGATGCACAAGGAAAAGGGTAAAGCTCTTTCTTCTCGATATGCGCATTTGGACTCATTGGGAAAAAAAACAAATGCAGAAAGGCTTACGCATAATAAAAATGTGAACGAATTATGTGGAAATGTTAGAAGCAGCATTGGAGCGTTTGACGAATTGCTCTTGAGGCGGCCTGCAAACTTAAAAGGCAGAAGTGTACCACCAAGTGGTATGTCTGTGCTTAATGGGGGAAAGGAAATAGGTGCCCACAGTGGTACTACAACGATTAGGGAACCAAATGAAGGTCTCACATCGCGTGATAATTATTCCTTAAATGAGTATCGAATGGTTGAAGGGAAATTTATGCAGGAGGATTTTTCTGCCAAATATAGGGAAGGACAAAGTGACGAAATAGAGAAGCCCTCTGAGGAGCCAAATGGGATGACGAGGACATGCATCAAGAGTGAAGAAAATTTCCTTTTTGATAAAAATAGGTATAATAATGTCAAAAGAGATGGACAGAAGGAAAGAGAGGAGATTACACATAAGCAACAAGTGTACACACACTATGGCGAAAATGAGCTGGAAATAATGGTTGGCGAAATGGAGAAGTTAGATGAGGGGGCGTGCGATGTCTACGCTAAAAAAAGTGACACTGTACGCTCAGATAAAAGATTATCGGAGCCATCTTCAGTGCAGAATGCGCAGATGCACACATGTGGCAACGGTTTAGATAACGTGATCGAGGCAGCAGATTCACCAATACAGAAACGAAATGCACTAAATGAGGATACACTTAAAAAACAGCTTGCCAATTCATATGACTACGAATTTTCGAGCTCGCGCAAAGCAAATCATAGCCTTTCTGGAAGTAACTTTTCTCCTGTGCACAAAAATCATTCGACCGAAGCGCAAAACCTGGGAAACGCCAACGAGGGTGAAGTACACAGTGACGATGAAGACTATAAATTGGTGACGGAGAATAAATCGACGGAGGACGAGATGGATGAAAAGAACGAGGAGGTAAGCGAGGAGGAAAAGGAAGAAAAGGAGAAAAAAAAAGGGGAAATACTCAATGATTTTCCAGACTATGACGGAGACACTGCAGATGATAAGCACCCCAATGGGGATAGCCCCAGAGGACAGTGTTACGGCGAAGGAGGACACATCAAGGAGCCTAACAAAGGCTATTTTGACAAGAGCTTTAATGAGGACTCAGTGGAGAAGGAACATTTATACGGCGACCCCGACAGTGCGAACATTCCTAGTAGGATCTTTCTAACAGTAAATGGGACAGACGCGCAAAAAGGTGTGCAAAAAAATGCGCACGATTCGGTGCAATTTAATAAGTCTGGTGGGGAGCCCTTCGAAGGTAAACGCGAAGTGGTCCGGGGTACGGAAGCCACAGAGAATCGTGGCGATAAGCCGGATGAGCAGGATGATGATAAACACAAGTTCCTGTGCAGCTCCAGCGACACTTATCATGTGGATGTATTGAAGTTGTACAATAATAAGCTATCCCATGAAGCGGGGAACAAAAAGAACAATAAACTTATAAACAAGAATATGATTTTGAAGGAGATATTCGGCTCGAATTATGAGTCCAGTTTGAAGAATGATCTGAACGAGTCGAGCAATGTGATTGGCCGCGAGCAGGAAGCGGCGGAGGAAGACGGGGACGAAGCGGGAAAAGTCGTGGAGGAACACGCACAGGATGGTGTAGAGGAGGAGGCGCCAAATTACCCAAACGAGGACACAACCAAGAAGGAGCCGCCGAACAACAGCGCTGCAATCATAAGCGATGATAAGTGTGACCATTATGCAAGCAACAAATCGATCGGAGGAGATGCCCACGAGCCGTTCGAGTCTCAGTTTGATACAAGTAACAGCGTGGAGAAGGACTCATTCGGAAGTGAGCTAGCCAATGACGAGGACTCGTTGCTTAAAAGGTATGAAGAGAATTCCTCCCCGCTGATTTTATCCAAGCCGTTGTTTAACGACAAAACGAGTGAAAGCAGTTATAACACAAGTGTGTTAATGGGTCGAGCAAAAAAAGAATCACTATCATTTCAGGACACCACTGCAGGGGGTAATAGTCATAAGGATAGAAATCGTAACGATGATGTCCTTGTAAAAAAGAAAGGGCTGCAAAATTTAGAGGACACGCCAAATTACACAGAGCAAAAGCGAACGCATAATGCTGGTGAATTGTCGAACGAATATAAGGAAGGTGGATATACATCGAAGGCAATGTTGGAGAAGGAGGCGGTAGGCAATGCACAGGACCCAGCAATGCATGTGCATAAGGTTGTGACGGATGGGTGGGGAGAATATTACGACGCTGGGGAAAGCAGCGATGTGAAGAGGGTGGAAGAACCGGATAGCGAAAACGAAATGGCCATCCTTGATGGTGTTGGCGAAAAGACAGCGCAGGAAGACATTAACAACAGAGCACCAAATGATGAGAAGGCAGAACGAGCGGATGGACTCTTTGAAAAAAAAAAGAGAAAGGGATGTGAGCATCCATATGATCATTACATTGATGAGTATGAACAAGGCTTCTCCTTGGTGAACCAGACGGCAGGCGAAAGGAAGAGAAATGAAATAGTTGAGCAAATAGTGATGTATGAAACAAGGAGGAACAGCCAAGGTGGGCAGTATCGCAGTTATAAGGACTATGTAAAAGTGGGAGAATTGGAAGGGAGAAATCACATCAGAGAAGAACTCAGGGGAGGACCAACCGAGGAGGATAACCCAATGCAGCCTCACAAAACATCGTGGACACAAAAAGCGCAACCTGGCAGCGACGGAGTAGCGAACACAGAGAATGAGTTGACACATGCACATGGCGAAACTCATGGCGACAGGAAACACAAAGCCATTTGGAAATACAAGGATAAGAATTTCCTAATCTATAGAGACAAATTATTTCAGGAAAAAGAAAAGGAAGCCAACCAAAGAAATTCCCACATGCATGACGACGAACAGTTAGACACGCATTATGGAAAAAAGTTTGATGTAAATAAAGAGAGAGAATATCTGTTCGACTCTATGAGCGATAATTATAATTATGATTACCTGAGGAAGGGAAGGAGTGGCAAGAATAGTTCTCAGATGATGAATTTGTATGAAAGCATTAAAAGCAGAATGGAGGCTAGCGGAAATAAGGAAAGTGATAATAGCAACTTGAAGAGCGTCATAAGTGACGACTACTATTTGGACTACATAAAGAATAGGAGAAAACATAGCAACAAATATCAAGGCCAAAAAAGCAGAGTAGATAGCTATAACAAAGTACAGCAAAGCAGCAATGAACATGACCTCATGATAAACAAAAGGAAAAGGAAGAATATATTCGAAAGTGATAGCTTGATAAATGATAGCAAGCATGAACATAATTTTGATCTGCCACGTAACAATAATGAATTCCTGGATGATGTGAAGAAAAAAATAAAAAAAATTAACCATATAGAGTGTAGCCATCTGTCCTATGGGAACAGTGAAAGTTCCAAGGCAGGTGCATTGTATAGCAGCATAAACGAAACAACAAATAGTAGCCACACTATTGTGTCGAAAAGGAGCAAATATATTTTGAAACACTCGAATGCTTCCTCTCTTTGTGATGATGTGCCTTTGTTTTTTAACTTTGTTAACTGCAGCTCAATCGTGTTAGGATCCGAAATTATATACGTCACAGATGAAACGTATGGGAAGTGCGAAAACATTTTAAAAGACAAACCATTCCACACTGCCAACGTGGAAAGGGGTTACTATGAAGATTACTCCAATGACCTCTATAACGTGACGAATAGTAATTTGAGCATTGGCATAGCCCATCCTAGGAAGCGCTTGGACGATATGGCTGGTAAGGGAAAGGTTGGCAATTTTCCTGGAGCACGAATGAACTGTTCTCGTGAGGAGAGGATAGGGGGGGAAAGCGGTTATCTCAAATTATCCGAAGAATCAAGTAAATGGGGGGAATGCCCGGGGTGGCTCACCAAAAGAAGAATAAAAAAATATTTCGATTTTTGTATAGTGAAGCTATGCAAACCAACCCTCATCAAAGGAATAGACATTGACACAAATAATTTTTTGGGAAACTACGCTCCGTATGTTTCTATCGAGGGGGCGTACATCGAAGACGACATGTTAATGAGTGCGGAATCATTTTCAAAATATGTGGACCAAATTAAATACCAGAACAAGAAAAAAAAATATTTCATGTTTGAGAAGGACTTTTTTTCGCAGCACCACCCTAGGGGGAGGAGCAATGAAAGGGGGGGTGTTCACAACGAAAATGGAGAATGCAGCAATACGGGTGATGTCAGCAACAGGAATAAGAATCACAGCGCTAACGCAGATAGGAAAAATCTGTTCCTATCGAGCCGAAACAGCAGCGGGGAAAACCGCTACTGGAGCAATGAGCGGAGACGTCTGGACGACCATGTGCTCAACAATAGAGAAGAGGTAGAATTGGTGATAGACGGGAAAACATATTTTAAAAGAAACAAATATTTTTATGAACCCATTTTGATAGATCCCCTTGACAAGTCCGACCAGGTGTATGAAAATTATTTGGAAATTCTAAGGTATAATGATAAGTATAAAAAATTGAGGACTAACCCTAAGTCTACGTCGTTTGTGGCCAACGGAAATGAGTACCGCTACATAGATAATAAATTGTACACGCTTGTAGATGTGACGAGGGAGATAGCTAGTAGGTATCCTGGAATCCACAAGGGGTGTTTGTTAAGGAGCTCCTCTTCCCCAGTGGGCACGGACCCTAATGGGGCTAACAGTGGCGAGGGGAGGGGTTATTCCAGTGGTGACCACTATGGAGATCGCTTCGTCGGAGTGGAGGGAGATGGTCCTAGCGGAGCAATGTGCCATGGGGAGTACCCCACGGGTAGCGCAGCGCAGGGGGGGCGGGGCGAGAATGATGACAATTGTGAGAATGGCGTAAATGGCGAGAATAGCGAAGAGGAGGAGGGAAACCCATTCCTCTCAAACTCGTACAACTCAAACACGCTCTTTTTAGACAACGACTACTCAGTAGAAAAGAAAATATACAACGACCTGCACAAGCAGTATCAATGGGTATCCATCCTAGAGGACGAAAGGATGAATCCTGGATTTAAAAACTACAATCATAACTGTTTCAACATAAACACATGTAACAAAATATTTACGCACCTGATTGTTTGTCTACTCCCCGATGGAGGAATAAACAAGTTGCGAGTGTATGGAGAGATAAAGATAAGTGAAAATGTTCGAAAAAAAAGTTACAAAAAGACGATTAATGCGTGTGATATTTTAGATGGATCCCACGTCGTCTACACAACTGATGAATTCTATGGAAAATCTGAAAACATATTGATCGATCAGAACTCGGAGTATGTTATGGGGTGGCAGACAAGAAGACTCATCAATAGGCCTCTACGTTATGTTGAGAATTTGACGATAAATAATATTTCGTCCATATTTTTTAACAACAACTATTGTATAATTAAGCTCAGTTTTATTACCAGCATTAAGTACATAGAAATTAACACCATATTTTATGAGTACAATTTTCCGTTGTGCGTTTCGATTGACTATTGCTATATGAAGGAAGTACACTCGGAGGAGAAGTCCAAGCAGATTGAATTTTTTGGTGAAAATATTGAGAATATTCAGTGGAAGGAGCTTCTCCCTCTGTCCTACATTAAGGGGAACCACATCAATTTTTTTACGGTAAATGGTAGCAGCTCTGATGAGGCACCTTTGCCTGACATGGTGTCCTCCCATCTCCGTCTGAACATATACCCGGACGGGGGCATAAACACGATTAAGGCATACGGCCCGGTGGTAGAGGTATAGCGGGAAAAGAAGCGTGGGGTGTGAACGTCGTGACGACTCATCGCGTGTCATACTTATATGCTTCCCTTCTTCAATGGGCATAGAAAAAAACTGCTTGCTCCTATGAATAATCCGCTTTGAATTCAAATAATCCTGCTGGCTACGGTCACTACGCCCTTCTTTAAACACTCTTGTTAGGGGTATATGTGGATCCGTTTGGTTCACCCGTATGTTTTAAACACGTCCATGGTTGCACAAGTGGCTACCTTCTGGCGTAGCACAGTTGAAATGGTTCCACATGGCGATGGCTTTTTTTTTTTTTTTTCTTTTTTTTTTTTGTGGTGCACTTTTGTCTCTGTTTTTTTCTTGTTTTTTTTTTAAAGCGTGTCATTATTTTGTTATGTGTCAATTAGTTGCTCATTTATGTAGCTTAACAAACATTTTTTTTTTTTTTTGGGGCCACTTGGATTATGAGCTGCCAATATGCTCAACTGGAACGGCGACTTTTCCAGCTATACAGCATCATTGTGATTTTGAGTTTGCGGCATTATTACATTTGCTACCTTGCGGGGGGATAGATAACGCAACACGTACGTAGCAACGTGGAACTGCCAATGTACATGTATTGTCCTTGATTAAGCTCTTTTTTGAAGCGTGAAAAATAGCAAAGCGGAGGAAGAGAAGTCGCCCTTTAGTGCAAAAAACTAGTCACAGCGGCCGTGTGTAACAGGCGCAAAAAATACTAGTTGTAGTTCGGTAGAAAGCGCATTTAGGTATGTGCACTTTTTAGCCCGTTCTACACTGGAAACTGGAGGAAGTATATTATAGCATTCGAGCTCTTGGAATGGTGGGGGAAATAAAGCATTTCGGATTGGAGAGTTAATTATTATTTTCACCATATAGATAATCTCCCGCCATATTATTATCGTCACTACGCGTACAACGCCTTTTTGCAGCACACGTATGTGGTCGCGTGCATTCTTGTCATTTTTTGCGGCCATATATACGTGACGATAGTAGCACAACGGAAAAGGAACCACACCAAGTAGAACAAGAAAAACATTCCGAGTCCTCCCCCCTCTATATATACATAAATACATATCTATATACATACATATGTACGCACGTATATACGTACACACAGACACACAGGTGCAGCCCCTTTGAGGTTTATCGAGCCACTATTCAAAAGAACAGGACAGAATGATGAAAGGAGCTATCTTTATCCTTTACCTCATTCTGGCACAGCTCTGTTTTGGCTTTAAGAAATTCACGCCCAATCACGTTCTGAGTGTTGTTTCCAGAAGGGGGAGCCCAAGTAGCAGGTCTTCGCTAAAGCTGCATGAGTCTAAGAGCATAGATCTGGCAAATGACCTGAAGGAGAATGACCTGATTCCCAACGTCAAAGTTATGGTACAATGAGGATCGACACTGGGGTAGAATTTGCGGCCGTTTTTCCTGTCGCAGTATTCATGTATTGGCTATGTTCCTCGTACAGCACTGTACTGCACTATAATATGCGTTATTTATTACCCTTTTCTTTTTCCCCAGATCGACGTGAAAAACATGAATGGCACGGACCAGCCGGGGGAGCAAAACGACTTCAAAGCCATTGATACGCACGAATTGTTTAAGAACAAAAAAATACTATTGATAAGCCTTCCGGGAGCTTTCACCCCCACATGCACGTCCAAAATGATACCGCAGTATGAAGACGAATATGATTTCTTCATTAAGGAAAACAAATTTGACGACATCTACTGTATCACGAACAATGACATTTTTGTGTTAAAAAGCTGGTTTAAAGATATGAAAATAAAAAAGGTGAAATATGTTAGTGATGGGAATAGCTCCTTTACCGAGAGTATGAATATGCTTGTGGACAAGTCCAACTTTTTTATGGGCATGAGACCTTGGAGGTTTGTTGCTATAGTGGAAAATAACATACTGATAAAAATGTTTCAAGAAAAAGATAAGCAACATAATATGCAGACGGACCCATATGAAGTTTCGTCCGTTGCGGCTGTTAAGGAGTTCCTTCAACAGAATCAGTTATGAGGGAGGAGAAGTGTGACGTGCGGACGACTCTGTCCAATGGTTGGGATGATTCCCAGGTTTTGGAAAGCCCAACCATTTGTGGGGGTTCAAACGAAAGGCGCATTTTTTCATCGAAGTGTCTTTCCCTTGTGGTGCACGAGAGTCAACTTGGTCAGCCATTTGGCATTTTTCGAAAAGCTCCTCTGAAGCTTTGAGTCATTTGTTTTACATTATCGTATTTATGTATTTATTTTAATTTTTTTTTTTTTTGCATTTTTTATTTGACACGTATATGCGACGGGGGCTATACTAAAGACCCCGTGGGGAACTTTCAGCGAACGCCTCTGTGCGGTGCGCCACCTGTCCGTATTGTGAGAAGCGCACCCGGGCAGTCTAATTTGTACAGTTGATTATATTTAATTAATTTGGCAAACATAAATGAGTGTTCACTTAAACAGTCTTTAAAAAAAAAAATACATAAAACATAAAACAAAATTTTTATTGTTTGTGGCTTCGCTGGTGCTCACTAGCCAGGCATGGTACGCGCGCGTACGTGAGCATTTCGGCACAAGCACGGGTAATATTACTGCCTTAATGGGCAGAAGGCAAGTCGGCATACTTGGAGGCATATTTTTAAGGCGCAGGTTGGTATGGAAAGCATCCAAGTGTGTGTACACCAATTTGACAGTTGCGGTCAAGCGTTGCCTTGTTAAGCGATGAATTGGGGTGTATCACATGGAGTACGGCAATCCGTACGTGTGTTGAACGCACATATAGGGGGTACTGTTGAAGATGACAATTATATGCTTTATACGCCTAAGGACTGCCCCACGCATATGAACAGATATTTCAAAGCGTTTCAATATAGCGCACAGTGAATGTGAGGGAAAATAGTCCAGACCCATTCACCTATCCATTCATCTGCAACTGGACACTGAATCCCCGTCCCTTTTCAACGGATGGTCATGTTTTCCATACCAGCACAGTTGTTCATAAGGATGGACTTAAAAATATCATCTTCATTAATATTCTTCATGGTCTCTATATTATTATTTTGGACTTGTAATTCGTTTTCTATTTTTTGTCTCTCCTTTGGCTTCACTTTGTCAATAATAATTATGCTGTAGTTGTCCTCTTTCTCTAAATGTAAGCTGATGTCATTGTCAAAGGTGTGTTTTCTTAGGTCATATGCATTTACATAATCTCCTGGTTTTAAATGTCTAGCGTTACACGTTTTGGTGAGTATTGTGTTTCCCTCGGATTCGTCGTACAACTCGACAAATGCGTAAACGAGTTTGTCTAACTTTACTTTTCTAGAGGAGGATTTACAACTCCTTGTGTCTGCCAATGAGCCATTGTCTTCGTTGACTTGGAAAAGGTCATCGGACGAGAATTCCTCCATGGTATTTGAGCTGACCGAATTTTTCGTTTTCCTCTTCAAATTAACGTTTTTATCCTTGGCTCGTATCGACCGGTTTGACGCTCCCTTTTGGCGTCCATTCATGGATTCATTATCCTCTTGATCAGCGTCTCCAATGGAGTCACAGTACCTGCCATTGGCCGCGGCGGCACCACCTCTCCTGTCATTCTTGGAATACGGGTCGTTGTCGATGTACTCCACGTTGAGTATGAGGAAGACCTTGGAGTCTGCCTTGCTCAGGAGGGGCAGGAAGGGGTGCTTGTTGTACCTCTCTTGCGATATATGAGCAGAGTTAGAGGAACAAAAAGGATTAATCAATATGATGAATATGGAGACATGCAAGCACAGGTAGAAGGTGCTCTTCATTCCATACTTGATGGATAAATCTTTCGGGAAAAAAATCAAATCGTATTTACATATGGGACAAATGTCAATAGAGAAGGAGTACAAATAATTATACGTGTTATTATTCGCATCGTGGTTTATCAAATGCTTTGAATTTTTACATTTTGACATTGTCTTGCTTAATATGAAATCGCAGAATTTGAGGGCATCAGTTCGTGACAAAAAATGGAAGTCTAAGCCATCTGGGTTGGATACTATGTTAATAATATTTTCGTTCATATTATATTTTAATAGTAAACTTTCCAAAAAGAGGAGTGTTTTTTTATGTTCAACTTTTTGCCTAACCGATACACAAGTGTTGTATGTGTATGGAGTATAAGTCTTTTTGCAATCATCACACTGGGTGTATTTTATTACGTAATGTAAAATTATCTCCATCTCGCTGATGAAATTATTAATCAATTCTTCTTGTACGGTGAGGTGTATTTTGATTCTTTTGCTGTGCGGTTCTGTATATAAGAATTTTGCGTCCAATATTTTTAGCTTTTTCAATTTATTCACTTTTTTTAAGCATAGGGCTAGTAATTCTTTGCTCTCCAATTCGCAATGTACCCACCGGTTGTGCAGGTACCTCTTACACTCTCGACAGTAGTATATCAGGTAGGTGTCCTTATTTATGTTGACGCTACTACTTTCTACGTTTTGTAAAATGCAGTTGCTGCACATTTTGGACGCGTTGGCCTTGATGCTGTCTCCGCACAGGATGCACGCGATCAGTTGCATGCTATCGTTTTGTTGGTTCTCCACGGAGTACACGTTTTCGTAGTCCTTCCCGTTAGTTTGGAGGAGGCAATCATGGGGAGCATTCCCATTTGGTATCGGCCCATGTGTAGAGCCATTTTCCCCTTTTCCACGCTCCTGCATGGAGTTCAGAATGTCGACGAACGAGGACGCACGGAAATTATTTAGACTCTCGTTGTACGACTTTTCAAAATCCATGCGTTCCGTTTTAAGCTCCATTTGGTCCCTCATTATGGCCTCCGTTTTAATATGCCATTGCGCTTTGTCCCCCCCTTGGTCATTCTTTTTATTGGGAGTCATGTCGTCAGTCTCGCCCCACTTCAGTTGATCCTTCAAAAACACGGAGTTCTGCTCATTCTTCGCGCATTCACGCTTGTCGAATTTAACATACACTGGCTCTTTCTCCTTGTCTTTGTATTCGTTCTGTTTGCCGAGTGCGGAAAACAGCTTGTGTTGATTTTCTTGGGTGCGGAACATCTTGTGCTGGTTCTCCTGTGCTACGAAAAACTTGAACTGTGTTTGGAAGCGCCTATACTGATTGTCCTCGCTGGAGAATAGCTTGTGCTCGTTTTCGTTGCATGCACTGTCATTGGGGGTGTCTTCTTCTTTCCCCCAGCATTTGCCATCGTTTCCTTTACCGCAGGTGCTGCACTTATCCCAACTGTTTTTGACAAAGTCGTTCGCTTTGGATTCACTCTGCTGACCGTTACTGTGCTTGTCCTCGTCTGTTCCCGTGTTGGCTGAATTCCCATTTTTGTTCACTTCCGAAGAACCGCTATCCATTGTTACGTCTTCCTTTTTCGCATCTACCCCATCTTCATCAAGCAGGAAACTGACTTTCTTTGTGACTTTTTTCTTCTGCATAGATTCGTTGGAGCTTTTTTCATTCGTCACGGCTACCTTCTGTTCAGTTACTTCCTTTTCGCCATTTTGACAGGTGTCGTCCTTTTCTAAATTGCTCATTTTGCTCTGTTTTCCTTCTTTTTTTTTGGAAAATCTTATGTAGGTATTAATTCAAGGCGGGACAAAAAAGTGGCCAAAAGAAGAAGACGAAAAAAATGCGGAATAATCTGCCAGTGGGTTAAAAGGAACTTATTGCAACGTAGAATAGTCTACTTGAGAATGTCCTTCTTTCATAATGCGGTTTTGTTCATTGCCGGTAGAGGACAGATTCCGCACAGTTATTTCTTCCTGTAAAAATTGAGGGGTACATATTCTCAAAAATAATTCAGAAATTGTTGTTTTTTTGGTATTCTGTTCTCGTATTATCATTAAACGTATAATTTGTACTTTATCCCATTTATCGTTTATCCGTTTTTTTTTTTTTTTTTTTCCAAATTGTTTTCCAGTGTTTCTGGATGGATTTTATGTCAATATGGTTTTTTCAAAATGAGAAGGCAGCTTTTTCCTCTGTGGGGCTGAAGGAAGAAAAATTATTTCGACGGTCCCGCATTAACAAGTGGAGCATTTTAAAAAAGGCGCATGCTTTTTCGCCCTATTTGCTTAGACGGTTTTTTGTGAACCTTTTCAGAGTTACATGTGGCTTGCGTGTTTCTATTATATTTTTTTTTTTTTCGCAAAAGGGCGTATTATGCACGAATGTACATGTTTACACGTTTGTATATTTATATGTTTATGTACGCGCAGGAACATGTTCCCTTTCTTTTCATGGCCTCATGCTCATGGTTACGCCCTTGTAGGCACTTGCTTTTTTATCCCCCACCGCGTCAGCAAAATTCTTCGGAAAGGCCATGGTGCTGCAGGGTTGGTGAGGGCCCGGAATATTCCTATATAAAAACCCCATGCGGTGTCGCAGTTTTATGTTAGCTCATGGTATGCGTTGCGTTTGCTTTTTCCACACGTATACGTCGAAGCGTTTTTTTTACCGCGTCAGCGCTAATTTTGTAGCACTCTCGGGTTAACCCCATAATGGAATTGTTGTTAGGTGGGTACCAACGTGTCAGTACGCAAGTAACAATACTATGCATTGTATTTTTAGCCACTTTATGGTGCGGCTTAAGATTAATACATAATTGGGGGCAAAAGAATTACCCTACTTTTGTTATGGGGTTAGCTTTTTTAAAAAAAACGACGCCATTTCGACATATAAACGGAGACAAATTGAGTGGAAAAATATCTTGAAGCAGATGGAATTAAGGATGTTGTTAAAGAATCACATGTTGTGTCAAATTGAAGCAACATAGCATTGTGCCGTGCGTCTGTTCGCCACACTGGTACAGTTTTCTACTTAAAAAAAAAAAAAAAAAAAAAATCAGAACAGGCGGGGTAATTAGAGTAATTCGCCAGTTGCATACATTTAATTACCCTTTCTTTTGGAGAAAATCAAAAAACAGGTACTCATTTATGTAAGCTCACATTTGAAGAATTATCAATCTGCCTCATCATCAGCACATATAAAATGAGTGAACAGAGAGAACAGGAAAGTGCAGAAGTAGTCCAGGTTGTTGAAGGGGACGATGAGGAGAATGAATCATGTACGCCGCTGAATGGCGATACAAGTGATACCAAGAAAAGGAAGGGCGATGAGGGAGACGATGATGAGGACGAAGAAGAAGACGAGCATGACGACGATGATGAGGGTGCAGAAGAAGATGATGAGGACGATGAAGGAGATGAGGAAGACGAATACAATGAAGAGGACGATGAAGGAGATGAGGATGATGACGACGATGAGGATGACGATAAGGACGACGATGATGAAAAAGATGATGATGATGATATGGATGGAGATGATGATGGGAAGGACGACGATGATGAGGACGAAGATGAGGACGAAGACGACGATGATGAGGACGAAGACGACGATGATGAGGACGAGGAGGATGATGATGAACAAGAGAAAGAAGAAGATGATAATGACGAACGAGACTCGCACAACGACGGCGCGGATGAAGACCCTTACATGCTAAAAGACGCGACGTACATCCAAAAGAACGAGCTCTGGAGAAACCGACAGAGAGTTCTGATCGTGAGGTCGCCGCTAAAAAAAAAGAACTGCAAATCGTTCGTCGAAAATTTAAAGCTGTTGCTACCGCATCATAAGACGGAAAGCAAGTGGAACAAGAAGGCCAAAAAAAGCGACCTATGTGACATAAGCTACAGCAGAAACTGCAATAACATTATCTTTTTTGATATAAAGAAAAAAAGATATTGCTTGTGGATATGTAAAAATAAAACAGGACCTTCTCTATATTTTGAGATCTTGGATTATATCCCCTTGCACAGTTTACTTTTTTCTGGGAACTGCTTATTGTATTCAAGGCCTTTATTAATTTTTAGTAAGGCATTTGACGAATTGGAGCACCTGAAATTAATCAAAGAGGTTTTCATTCAAGTGTTCGGGACGCCCAACTACCATCCGCTGAGCAAACCCTTCTACGATCACTGCTACTCTTTTGTGCATGTGAATAATTTGATTTACTTTAGACATTACCAAATAATGCCAATAACTTTAGCAGATTCTAACAATGTTAATAAGCAGAAGTTGGTGGAAATAGGGCCCAAGTTTACTCTACATATTATTCGAATCTTTGAAGAGTGTTTCAAAGGGAGAGTTTTGTACGAAAATGTAAAGTACAAGAATTATGTGTCCCCACAGCAGATGCGGATGCAAAAGAATGCGCATAAGAAAATGAACAATTTAAAGAAGAAAAAGAATATGTCCAAGAGAGTGAAGTTTATCCGGACCCCGATTAAAATGGACATAGACTTTTAGTTTGGGGGTGGTGGTGCACCTGGGTCTCTACCACGAGACGAGGCACCTCCCCCCGGATCTTTCCCGCCCGCGTTATCGTGAGTGGGTATTTGTGTTTGAATGTGAATGTTTGGTTATGTTTTTTCCACTTGGCATTTGTCTGCTTTTTTACGCCGTCTTTATACCCTGTTTTTACACCCGTGTTTGTGCTTTTTTTTTTTTTTTTTTTTTTTTTTTTTTGTTAAGGGGTCGGAGGCGAGTGCGCGTCACCCATTGTACACATATATAGGGGAAGATACCCGCACTCGACATATGTGTGCCATTCCTTCTTAAAAACGTTCTCATGAAAAAATGGAAGAGTTGTGGACAAAGAGAACGCCATACATATGTTACGCGTTCCTTTGTAGACGCCCCCCTTTTTTTCTTGCCAACTTCAACCTCCCGTAAAAAGTGACATGCGTGCATAGTAGCACATGCAGCATTGTAGATTTAAAACAAAAACAAAAAAGAAACACATGCATATTGTGTGGTTTGCAACCTGGCTGTATTATTTGAGTGGTGTTTAAAGGGATTGCTACTACATTCTGTTTTTCGTGCCTACTGCTTTGGTAAAAATAAATAGGAAGGCGGATAAAATGCTATGAAAAATTTGAATTCATTTTTGCTTTTTTTACCTTTAAGAGGGGTAGCCTTTTATGTGGCGAACTTGCCATGATGTTCCTTTTCATCATAACAATGAATTTCTTTATTCTTTCCCATTTGTGTTTTCCCGTTGGTTGAAACGAATCAGTTTTTTTTTTTCCCACATTTGATGCTAAAAAAAGGAAAGCAACGCATAAGAATGTGTTAAAAGGATGTTTCTGCAACATGACTTTTTTTTTTTGTTTTTGAAAAGGGGCGTTGAGAAAAAAAAAAAACAAAATGATCCATACATACGAATATAACATACCAATGTGCGCGGAGAGTGCGTAATAAAAAGGGGGCAGCCGAAAAAACGTTAGAAGGGTAGCAGTCATGGCAGAATACATGACAACGTAAATTTACCGTCCCCAAAGAGGAAGAGTAAACATGGTAAAGTGTATGAATATAAATATCCCCCCTTTACGTTATGTGCGCATGAACGCTTTTACATACCTTCAGCGTGTACCTGCATATAGCTGTTGGATGGGTAACGCTTAGAGAGCGCAGAGAAAAGAACATCGAGAGCGCTTTCAAAGGTAAAAAAAAAAAAAAAACCCAAAATGTCGTTGGCCAGGGAGAAATATCTGAAAAGGAAAAGAGAACTGCTTGGGAACATAAACATAATTGACAATAACTTAGGAGAAAAGAAGGAACAAAATTTGGAGGAAAGAAAAAGAGAAGGAAAAAATGAAGAGAATCCCTATGAACGTAAAAATGAGCAGACGCTAAGGAGAGATAGAGAACACCGTGTGAAGGATGAGTGGGGCAACAGCCAGGGAAGAAGGCCCCCCCACGATGGTAGCAGCTGTGGCGGCTATAACCAGATAAGTCATAGGAAAAACGACCGGAGGCCCCCGGATGATCGGGGACACCACGTCGACCGTTCACACCACGGTGAACCTACGTGGCAGGGGAGGAAAGATCCCCTGTTGGATGCAAACCGAAGCAAACCAATTCTCACGAGGAATAAGGATAACCCCGTATTCAGCAAAAGTAACACACCCGATGACACGCAGCAGTGGAGCATCCGCTCCGAAAAACTAAGAAGAGACTCCTCCAATGTGAGTCAAAGCGCACATAGCTTCCGCTCGGTGAATGAAAATACGTCTAATAAGGATGTAGAACTTACAAAGGAGAGGGACAAAAAGGGGGGACCCTCCCCCGCGAGTACCACCTCATACGAGGTACTAACCAATTTAAGTAATATAGAAATAAACGATAGCGCAACTTTGCTAATATACACGTGCAAGTTATTGCTACAAATGTGTGGGAAGGAAAATGAAAATAAAGCCAAGATGAATATGTCCCTCTCTTCGGTTGAAATATTGAGAGAAATAAAAAACAGAAATAGGAAAAATGTAAAGTTACTTAAAATAAACATTCTAAATGAGGTACTCACGTATATGTCTCTTAAGAGCGGAGGGGCGAGGGATCAAGTTGGTACAAATCCAAATGAGCCAAGTCTAGAAAAACATAAAGAAATAAAACTAGAGGAGGCCTGTATTGATATAGAAAATGTGGGAATAAGCATAATAATAAAAGTTATTTACATAAAGAATGTGAAGAATTTACTCATGAAGTGTTTGTTTCAACATGGTAAGGGTGGCACACAGGGGGGAGATGGAATGGGTGTAGGAAGAGGCACAAATAGGAGTGACAGGGGATATATTGAGGATAAAAAAGGTGGGCGTGTGCTTGTGGGAGGTATGCAAATCCCGTATGAGTATCGAACCACTGGGGGAACAGAAAGCAGTGGGAGTAACACATACAATTCGCTTCTGCAAGAAAATGAAAGAAAAAAATCAAAACAAATTAATAACCAAAACTATGCAATGGAATATGAAACAAAATATGGAGACGGTACTCAAGGCGGAAACAAATATAATCAGAGTGACGATGCCAAACATGTTAACAATAGTAGTGGTAATAACAAAATAAACTATCTTGAAAATTTACTAAACGAACCAACGGCAAAGGAAAAGAAAATAAAACAGGAGAAGACCAATATTTTATCTATAATTGAAGCACCAACGGTGATAGAAGAAATGCGAATAAAAAAGTTTCAAAAAAAAGACGACTCAGTAAAAATTATATGTCCCTATTTGACGAAAGAAGTATGCCAAAAGCATAACAAAGAATGCAATAAAGTTCATTTTAAAAAAATTATATCCGAGCATACAGATGTGTCATTGGGAGACTGCTCCTACCTAGACACCTGCAGGCACATTGAAACGTGTAAATTTGTTCATTACGCCGTGGATAAAGAAGACCAAGCAATGGGTAGCCATCAAGAATGTGTGACTGAGAAGAATGCCGACATTTTTAGCATGACGGATAATACTTACGGACCACAGTGGATAAGATGCGATTTAAGAAATTTTGACTTGAGTATTTTTAACCAGTACGTTAGTGTTGTGATGGCAGATCCCCCGTGGGACATCCATATGGATTTACCGTATGGGACTATGACAGATAATGAAATGAAATTGTTACCTGTGCAGCTAATACAAGATGAAGGCATGATATTTTTGTGGGTCACTGGTAGGGCAATGGAACTGGCAAGGGAATGCCTACAAATATGGGGTTACAAAAGAGTAGAAGAAATTTTATGGGTTAAAACAAATCATTTGCAAAGAATTATAAGAACTGGTAGGACTGGCCATTGGCTGAATCACTCCAAGGAACATTGCCTAGTTGGTATTAAGGGAAACCCCGTTGTTAACAGAAATATCGACTGTAATGTGATCGTATCTGAGGTTAGAGAAACTTCTAGGAAACCGGACGAAATTTATTCCCTAATAGAGCGCATGTGTCCGCAGAATTTGAAAATCGAGCTTTTTGGGAGACCTCACAACATCAGGAGAAATTGGATCACCCTGGGGAACCAGCTGAACGGCGTAGTTTTGCACCATCCACAAATTAAGGAAAGGTATAACAAGATAGCCGCGCAGTTCAATATGCCGCTCTGCGGGGAGTAGCACGGAGGTGGGTACGCGGGTCAGTAGTACATTTCTATGACATGTAACTGGCACTTGGCTACCACACGGTAAACTTGTAGTCCATCTGGGGGAACACACCCATTTTGGGTGTCACCACGAGCTGCCAAATATGGGCAGCGTGGAATAGTGTGATTTGCGCACTGGGAACAAAATCTATGAAGATGCTAAAGTATGGATTACTCAAAATGGGGTAAGGCAAACGGCGTAAGGCACACGACGTAAAATTGAGGAGCGCTGGTATGTTGCGTTGCCCCCGCCCCCGCCGATAGTTATCTCATTTGCCCAGGCTCAGTTGCGGTTGCTGTAGCAGCTGTTTGGCGTAGCCACGTCGGCGCACGCATGTAGTTACGTACACATATGTGCACATCGCATGTGACGTACTGTTTATGTTTTTTTTGTGTGAACCATATTTTGTACCCGTCGAGTCCTCTCACAGTTCCACCACTTCAATGATCAGCAATAGAATTTTGTTGTCCCTTTTTTTTTTTCTTTGTTTTTGTAAAGAAAATTGTCCATATTTGAGGAATTGCGCGAATATTTATTTTAAGCGCAAATATATGCCCACGTTTTTTCCGTTTTGAAATTAACCCTTTGTTAACATTTTTTCATTTTAAGGTGAAATTTTAATAATTTATAATTTTACAATTTTTAAAGGCCCAAAAAAGGGGAATCCGAGTGATTTACTCCAACCGAAAAAGGTAAGCGTGGGTATACATACAACATAATACAGCAGTGTGTCCCAAAAAATAGGTTTAAAAGGGAACGAACTTTTTTTTTCCATCATTGTGTCATAGGAAGGTTGTTTGTTACCACTTCTTAGTGAAGGTAGAAAAATATTGGGGAGAGTAAACGTCTTCATATATTTGCCTATTCAAAGCGCGAGCTGGGCACGTGTTAACCATATGGAGGGCTTTCCCCCTCGGGAAGTATTCAAATGGGTTACTCAAGTGCACAAACAGGAACATTAATAATTGCATACGTATGCGTAACTTCGTTTCCCCTCGGCTATAATCCCTTCGCACATGGATAACAAGTCGGTGGGGCCTTTTTCTTTACACCGCAGTATCCAATTAAATTTGACCATGGTGAAAATAGATCCCTAAAATAAGGGCAAATTGGGGGCAAGTCAAAATAGAATTTCTGCCTTGTAGGAATTTCTCCCCAAATGAATACTCCCTGGTATGTTTTTATGCTCATTCTTAAGAGGCAAAACTTATCTACACCCACGCCATGCCGCATTTGTTAATCCTTACCATAGTTGACGACTCGTCATGTGACAATTGAAACCAGCATGCAATCGTAAAATGAGGAAACTATGGACCCCCATAAGAAGAACAGAACATCAGAAGGCGATAAAGAACAACTACGATGAAGAAACGAAGGAGAACTTTGAAAAATCACTCCCAAAGGATTTCATAGAAAATAACAGGAACAACAGGATCCCATACTTTGAAATTAAGGAAGCCACTCGTAAGTGAACTGCGTCTGCTAGCACCACACACAGTGGCTAACTGCTTGCCGTTTAGCAGATATACAGAGCTATGCCTCTAATACGATGATATTAGTATCACTACATGCCTTTGTGCATTCTTATGAGCTTACCCATTCATCTAAAACACGTGGTATGGCCTTTTCCGGCACCTGCCCCCCCCTTTTTTTTTTCTTTAACTCCGTAGTGATCGAGCAGAAGGAAAAGAAGGAAGCTCAGAAAATATTGTCCCTGGAGTTACGAGACAAGTGCAGGTAAAAATGGAGGTGCAGCTCATGATGCGTTAAAAGGGCACCTCGAGAACAGCCATGTGTGCATGTTTATGTAGACGCTGCGCTCTCCCGAATTGAAGTGCTCAGTTTTCACTTGACTCCTCTTGTAGGGCCGAAATTGACGACTACGTGGAGTGCTCGGTGGGAAGGCTGTGGACAATTCTGCGATGCAAGGATGTGATGATTAACATGAGGAAATGCTTGAAGAAGTATGAAAATCTCGAGGTAAGTGAAAGGGAGTCCAATGGCGAAAAGTGGGGGAAAAAAAAATGCCTCTGCAAAATGGAGGGAAAATGTCAATTGCACTTTTTACGGGAACACCTCGTGCACGTACCCCTGTGCGCACGTGACCACATGTGCTCATCCCCATCTTTGCCCCCCGAAGTATGTGAAGTTCCGGGAACAGCAAATTATCGAGGAGCGGAAGAGAAATGGAACAAGTCTGCACAGATCAGACGAGCGGGCCAGATACAACAGATTTGTCTACACGTAAGGAGAAAAGGGGAAGGCACAAAATGAGGGCGTGTCACACATGCGTGTGCCCCCTTCCGATGACGAGAAGTGCGCAACTGATGCATTTTTCCAAAATGACATCCTTTTTCTATTTTGTAGGGATAAAGAAAAGGGCTGGGTCCCAGAAAGGCAATACTGAAGATTCTCCCCGGAGGGTCTGCAAGTTTTTTTGTGTTTTTTGGCGCAAATTTGTTAGAACGCACTGGAGTGAGCCTGAGTCTCTCACACGTGCGTGTGCTTCTTCAAAGTTTTATGGAAATTTTGTGAAACAGAAAAAAAAAAAAAAAAAACATAGGTGGCATAACTACAATCGGAAGGAGCCACAACTGGTGGGGAAACGAATTTGTGCTAAATGATTGTCATTTTATGAGGATGCAGTGGGTCAAGCCTTTAACGAAGCTCACATCGGTGCGTCCAACCCAGGATAGACACCAACTCAGTAGATAATCTGGTAGGTGTCATTCCCCCGATCGAAAGTGTCAATGTGCTGAAAGATGTTTAAGTACTTCATTTGGTCGAAGGCAGGATCATTTTCGAGTTCGTTAAACTTGAGGAAGGATGGAATAGTTTTAAAATAGACGCAGACATTATGGTGCGACGAAATTAAGTGAGTTAACCTACATCTTTCTGAGCAGTAAGTAGCAATGTAGCAACCAGGGCAATAATCAAAATTATTTTTGTTATGCTCAAAATGGTGAACATTAAGATATTTATTGCATACAGAATTCCAGCAGTAAATGCCATAATTTATATTTTTTAAAAAGTAAAATTCTCCTATGGAGTTTTCTTGTTTTAAATTATTGAAGTAGTACCTGTTCACGATTGTCAATTCTTGCAACATAATATTATCGCTTACTGTCTGTTCTCTTTTCAGTGCACAAGAAACAAAATGATGAATTTTGACGGCTATTACATACACCTGCTTCCATGTGTTTTCATTTGTTAGAGAGCATTTATGATAATACGAATTTTTAATAATATTCGTCATGTGTAGAATATGCTCTAAATATTTTTTTTTTATATAAATTGATCTTAGTTTGTATAGACACAATAAATCTGCGACAAATAGCAAAACATCTCTGCCTATGAGGATGTTCATGTCGTCGTAGAAAATTTCCTTCAATATATCTAGCAGTTTGATCTCATTTTTGTTTATTTTTTCGAGGCATTTTTTGTTGGATACTCCGTATAGGAATTCTGTTATCATTAAGAAAAACGAGTTGATAAATGTTAAGTAATTTTGGGTGATTGTCACCTTTTCGATGTTTTCTTTTTTTAACGAATTCATGATTAGGTTGAAAAAGGCTGAGTCGAAGAAGCTCTCGACTATTTTTTCCATGTCGATATTTATGTACTCTTTGAAGAAAGGGAACAGGTTTCTGATCACATCAATGTGGTAGTTTAGGCTTGATATGACCACGTCGTTGTAAATATTGTGACTGTTTTTTTCCAGTGTCATGTTGATTCTAACTTCGCTGTATTTGTACGCATGCAGGCGCATGAGCAGTCGATAGATGCTGGGGACTCCGCTGAACAGGGCGCCTGCGGAAGTGAGCATTGTGGGGGGAAGCATTGTATAGGCAAAAATGTACCATTTTATCAGCTTAGAGATTGGCGATAGGGTGGCAACAAAGTGCGAGTAGGAGCACGCGGTTGGTCGCACACAACTACGCGGCAACCACTCCCTCGCCTACCCGTAAAAATGTAGTGGCTGAACTTGTAGAACTTTCCATTCGCGCGCGCATAGACATACTGATCCAGCACAGACGCATCATTGTCGTAATTCATTAGGTAAGAATAAAACGAATTACGTGTGGTGTTGAAAATTTCCATGGAGAGAGGAATCCATATATTGTGCACAAGCTGAACCCAGAACTTCGCATTGTCTATATGCAAATTTAGCATATTATTTATGAATTGTTCATTTTTAATTATTTTCTCCAAGTCGGTTTTTAAGTAAAATTTTGAAATGTCATTATGGTTGATGTAAAAATCTCCTCGTGTCACATGCTTCGTTCTGATGTACTTTCTAATTTTTCTCAAGCCAGCAATGTCCTCATAAGGATACACATAATGATATTTATTTAGAAATAATTTCAAGTACTTGCATTTGTCAAGTCTTTCATCAAAATCTGGAGTGGTAATAACATTTAGGATATCGATAACTTCACCTACATCCACCGAATCGCAATTAAAATTTAGTCCTTGGACAATTTTTTTACATTTTTCCTGTACCATTCTTAGGGCGGTTTTTTCGACCTCGTTACCGGGGCTTACTGTGTGATCGCTATATTGGAGTACTTCCAAATCGTGTTTTATTTTTATAATATCTGTGTCTACATTTGTTGGCCTAAATTTATGCGTATCATGATTTTCTGCCTTGTAAAATTTTAAGGTGTTGCACACTTTGGTGGATGCCTCTTGGATTTTGTTCAAATGCAAGCGCTCGCTGTCCATGTCTTTTCTCGACAAGAATAGGAGGTCGTTGTAATTGTCGTTTATTTGGATGGGGGGCGTTTTCTTCTGCTTTGCGGTAACCGCGTTCTCGTTCGGTTGGCCCGCTGGGTTGGCCTTGTTTGGTTCACCCACTACGCCATCCGGCGCGTAACCCTCCCCATTTTTGCAATCCAATTCACACGGCCTGTATTTTTCGAAAATGCCACTTTCGTCGCGCAAAAATCCGCTGATCAGCTCGTCCAAGGATTTAATTTTCACCCTTTTTCTATGACCATCTGTCGTTCTGGGATTTTTGAATAAGTAAAACAGGTCTTCTTCCTTGGAGTTAAAAACCAATTTGGTGTCACGTGCGCTATTATGTCCTGTGGGCACCATAATTTTGACTTGACCTTGTCTGCGTCACGAAGATGGGAGTCACAATAGGAGTGCAATTTTGTTCGTTTATGCTGTGCGTAAAAGTGGTTACTTTTCGCGTTTAGGAAGTTGAGGGGTGAAGAGGCCATGTGCACCTTTTTTTTTTTTTTTTTTTTTTTTTCTTTTCCTTTGCTCATCAGAGTGGAGTACAAATGGGATGGAACACGGCAAAAGGAAGCATGGACAAACGTATTGACATGGCGCGGATGCAGAATGACAACTTTTATGTTTTTCCCTTTCGCTGCAGAATAACACCAGTGCGTGCACTGAGTATGAACAATACTGACCATTCGGATTTTTACAAAAGGTGCAGGAAACCGGCGGGTGAAAATAAAACATGTTTGTGTGTGTACACCTGCGCATATACACACATTTGTATGCTGCATTTTTCCGCAGGTGTTGCCTTTTAGAAGCGGCAAATTTTTCTTTCCCATTTTTTCCGCTCTTTTGTGTTGTATTTATCTATATATAATATTTTTACTTTAAAAGAAAAGACAGCAGGACAAAGAGGAGAAAAAAAAAAAAAATACATTTATTTATGACCCACGTGTGGTGCCGAAAAAATAAAGTGTAAAAAGCGTAACAGGAGGTTACTTTTTGGCAGCACCTGCGGAGTGTTCGGAGTGGGAAAAATCCCCAAGATATAATCAGGAATACGGACTTAGGAGATAGACTAAGGACAAACTTTACTCCTTCACACGCTTCATTTAATTTTCCTACATTTGAAATAACTGTGTTTTTATTTTTAAGGTATCACATTTGCGTCGAATGAGGGGTTCACTTTCAAAATGGCAACACCTGCAAGGGATGTGTGTTACCAAATTTCCTTTGTTTTTTTCCCCCCCATGGCGCATTGCCTTTTACAGTAATATACATGAGCATAAGCTTCCCACCACATAATGGTAAAATGGAGGAATTATAAAAAACTGAACAAATTTTAAATGAGACCGCTGTGAATTTCTTATGCATATGTACGAACCGCTACGCGAGAACTTGTCTTGCAAGTCTACAGATGTCAATTTAAAAAAAAAAAAAGAAACAAAGTGGGGCACACAGGAGCGCTACTATGTTTTATTAGCGAGTTTAATTTTTCTCGATTCGTTACCCTTTTTTATTCTCTTCCCAATTTGCCTACATTTGGAGCTACTCTTCGTCCAAAATGATGAGAAGTGTGCACATGAAAAAATACAGGCGTGTGGACACACGGGTAAAAAAAAAGTAGAGCGCGAACACGGCCATAAACAATTACAAAACGCAAGTGCAAGTTAAAGCACAGACACACATACTGCGAAAAGAATGGAGGAACCTAAATGTAACATTCTGTATGAACATATGAACCAGGAACAAAAAATAAAGCTAATAAATTTGGCAAAAGAAGTGTACCACAACATAAATAACAATAAAATAAATTCCTGGAGATGCGCGTCGATAGCCTTACGAGATAAAATAAAAGAAGTTTTCGATTATAATGAAAAAGGATGGCATATTATTATAGGATATAAATTTGGCTTCTTCTGTACACACGAAGTGTACAATGCGTTACATTTTAAGTTGGATCACATAGAGTTTCTCATTTTCAAGCACGGCTAACAGACGGGATGCGCACTTCTATGAGTAAGCAGCTGTGCATCCAATGTATATGTTTCACAAGGGTATTTACTTATCTGTGTGCACGTGTGCATGTGTAGGTGTGTCCTTAAAATGAGTGGAACGTTTAAACGATTTGCAGAAAATGATCTTTTTTTTTTTTTTTTATTGTAGGTTATATAATTTGCAGCGTGAGGATGTAAATGAGGAGGATTATTTACTTCGCGTGGGTGTACATACATAAGTGCGTGCATGTGCTCGGTTTCATGAAGAAATGTGAATACGCAAAAAAGTAGGTGGGAATTATGCAAAAGGAACTTCCTCACAATGAGAAGAACAAAACAAAAAAAAACAAACTCTTGGTTGTTACTATGTTCTTTTGTCCAGAAAATGGTGATGATTTCCTTTTCACAGTGTGGACAGGTTGGAAGCATTTCCACCACCTGAAGCCTGCACACCTTTATTTTGTATTTATTTATTTTTTTTTTTTTTAACCCGTTCATGCACACATAACCAAAGAAATAATAACGACACGTAAAAGGTGAGGGAATTCCTTTTTGCGAATTGCCCTTTGAAGGGGAAAAACTTGTTGCCACAAAAAGGGTTGTAGGCGCTCTTCAAAACAGTCGTCCACAAAATATGCCATGAGGCATGTGCATATGCATGCATGTTGCCGCTATG